TTTTTTTGCGGTATGTGGGCCTCTCACTGCGGCGGCCTCTCCTGTTGTGGAGCACAGGCTCCGGACGCGCAGGCTCAGCGTCCATGGCCCACAGGCCCAGCCGCTCCGCGGCATGTGGGATCCTCCCGGACCGGGGCACGAACCCGAGTCCCCTGCATCGGCAGGCGGACTCCCAACCACTGCGCCATCAGGGAAGCCCTCTTTTCCCTTTTTTATATATTATTTATTATAGTTCTTATATTATTATTTTTCTAGACATTAATAATTTATTAATTGCTATTAAAATAATAACTGTTCAGTGTGCACTGGATACCAGGCATTGATGGGCACTTTGAATTAACTCTTTCATTTAATCTTTACAAGCCTCAAAATATTACCCCTTTCATTTTAAAGATAAGAAAAGTGATGCTCATAGAGTTTAAAAACCTCCACTAAGGTTCCCCAGCTGGTGACGAGTGGGGCTGCATCTGGATCTGTCCTTCCCACGGTCCCGGTCCTGCTTCAGCGTGGAGTGTTTCGTTCCATTAGGCCTCCATCCTCATATCATCTACTCCTTGAGATAAATTTTCTGAACTTACATTTCTTCTCAGTGAAGATACATGGAAGACACTCGGTATACATTTACGTAAAGACTGAACAAACAATACGCAATCTTGAGAATTTTCTCAAAAGGTGCAGATGGTATAGGCGTCTCATAGAGTACCTGTGAGTTGGTGAAGTAATTTGTTACTCATGCCATGTATTTCCATGCTTGGCTTTGTGCACCTGGGGTGACTGCCGCTTCTTCCTCTCCCCGCTGCACCCTCTGCAGTGGCACCGGGGAACCAGTTGCTTGTGGGTTGTGAGGGAAAGCCCTCAGGATGATCTGAATATTCATTTTCAAATGCACATGCCAAATACTGACAAAGAGTAACTTATTTTATAAATTAAGCACTTACAGTGTCTAAGTGACAGTGCTTAATATGTTCTCACTTTTCTCCTAGTGCCTAATTTACACTCTCTGAATGACACACGGGCATGATTGACAAATAAATGGTACCTGCTCTTAATTACAGAGAAAATTATAAAACTCCTTAAAGTTTTTGGAAAGTGATTTCAATAAAATAATGGATGTTTTGTTGGTTTTGGATTTTAGCCAGCAGCAAGTTAGCTACTTTTTAAGAATTCAAAAACGGGAGATCAAGCTAATGTGCTAAATAAATGGAAGAAAAGTGCTGAGGGCACAGACTCTGAAACAGAGCTTGAATCCTCATTCTGTGGCTAACTAGCTGTATGACTTTGGGCAAATAAGCTCTTAGTGCTTTAGTTTCCTCATGTGTTTAAAAAAAAAAACAGCAGTAATACTTCTTGGATTGTTCAGAGGATAAAATGAGTTCATATATGTAAATTACTAGAGCAGTGCCTGGCATATAGAGTTAATGCTCTGTACATTAAGCTGTGATCATTAAAAGTGACATTTTAGAAGTAGTAAATTTGGTAAGGAAAATTCCCTTAACATAACTAAAATAAAGTACCCTCTGCTGATCCCCCAAAAGAAAAACATTGCCGCAAACATGAGAATACTTTTAAATGATTGTACTCAATAACTAATAAAGGGTCGTCATTTGTACCTCTGTATCATTTGTATCACAAGCTATTAAAATATAAAAGTCAAATTTTTGACCAACAGCTAATGCTAAAAAAATGTTTGCCTGAGTTAAAATATTGCTTAGTATATTCAAAAGCATATACTTTATTACCTTAAGAGCATAGAGATAATGCTGAAATCTGTTCCTTTGAGTATTTAGGATGATATCATTAGTTTCAAACACTCAAGCTTTTCTGGGCTGCCGTGAGCCTTGCTAATGGATAAAAAGGAAATTCTTTTTAAAATAAAGATTAGCTAGTAATCTGGGCTCCTGTTTGACTAGTAGCAAGAGCTGTCCTTCAGACATTTTTTGGATTATGTTCCTTTAAAACATTATCAGCGAGTTATACTTTGTGATTAAGTTCAAGCAATTTAAGTACAGGATTGACATCCATAATTTAGGAGGCCAGTCACTAAATCTTTGCCTTAAAGCTTCCATTTAACAAATTTGTAACTGCTAACTTGTTAGAGACTTCAA